CCCATCAGCATTCTTTTTGATCTTAAACACCCATTTGGAACCAACTAAATTCTTATGTTTTGGTAGAGGAACCAAAGACCATGTACCCTGAGAGTGTAATGCAGCAATCTCCTCTTTCATAGCCTCATACCATACTGGAGTCTTTAAAGCAGATTTATAAGTGGCAGGTTCCACTTGAGTCAAGTCAACACCTCCATTGTCATGAACAGCCGCAAGAAGAGCAATCTTCTTAATAATACCACTTTTAGATCTTGTCTGCATGGGGTGGAGGTTAACAGGAGGTATGGAGAGAACCACTTGCAATTGGTCAGGTTGGAATTCAGGTACCACAGGGAGTATGGAAGACAAGGGCTGTGTTGGTGATGTAGCAATGGATTGACTGCAACCTGGAGAATCTGTATCTGAGATTGAAACTGTCCCGGGATGGGTAGTAGACCCTTCTGAGATTGGAATAGGTACAGTATTTGGCATGACATTATTTGATGAGGAATTCATATGATAGTTATGGTGTGGGAACACAAGAACATTATTGTGATCTGGAACTGGACTTGGGGTTTGAATGACTGATGGCAGTGATGAAGAAGTAGAGTGATGTGTAGTGTGAAGAAACCGATAAGGAAACTCGGTCTCATCAAAAATGACATGTCTAGATATATAGATTTTGTTTTTAGTCACATCATAGCAGATATACCCTTTATACTTAGATGCATACCCCAAAAATACACATTTGGTTGTTCTAGGATCTAGTTTAGTGTTGGTGTAAGGTTTTAACCAAGGATAACAAGAACAGCCAAAAACTTTCAGATGTTGGATCTCAGGTTTTGAATTATACAGCAATTGGAATGGAGACTGGTTGTGTAAAGAAGGAGATGGCATCCTGTTGATTAAGCACACTGAAGTTTGACAAGCAACTGACCAAAACAGGGATGGTAGAGATGCAGTTTGTAACAAAGTGATAGATGTTTCAATGATGTGTCTGTGTTTCCTTTCGGCAATGCCATTTTGTTCGGGTGTATGAGGACAAGACACTTGATGATGGATGCCTTTATCAGATAAGAATGTTTGAAATGCCTTACTAACATACTCACCACCACCATCACTTTGAAGAGTTTTAATAGAGACTTGAAACTGATTGAGAATAAAATTGTAAAAGGCCCTAAAGATTCCAAAAACATCACTTTTATTGCAGATAGGAAAAATCCAGGAATATTTTGTACAATGATCAATGAGAGTGACATAGTATTTGAAACCGTCAAAAGAAATACACGGAGCAGGCCCCCACACATCACTATGAACAATATCAAAAGGTTTGACAGACTTGACTAGGGAAGAAGAAAATGGCAATTTGCTAAATTTGCCCTCTAAACAGGTCTGACACAGAGATGGGTTTGTATCAATAACACAGAAAACATTTGACGATGTAAGAACCTGAGAAACTATTGAATTTGAAGGGTGACCTAATCTCTTATGCCAAATACTGTGAGGAACTTGCTTTCCCAGAAAGGCTGCAGGATGTCCTGTGAAGCTTGCTGCAGGAGATGTTGAAGAAATGATGGGGTACAATCCATTGTTACACAGCCCTTTGTAAAGTATCATCCCTGTGGCTTTGTCCTGAATCCAAAAAGAAAACGCATCAAAAATCAACCAACAATTATTATCCAGACAAATCCTATGCACAGACAACAGATTTTGAGACAATTTGGGTACATAAAGAACTGAAGTAAGTTTAATAGGCTGCTTTGAAGGTCTGAGAAGTGTAGAACCAATATGAGATATTGCTAAACCTTCACCATTCGCTGTCTGAATTGTCTCATGTGATGGATATGGAGTTGCCAAGGAGAGATTACTCAAATCTGAGGTCATGTGATTATTGGCACCAGAATCAGTAAGCCATACTTGTTGCTGGGATGGTGCAGATGGCACTGGCACTGTGAATGGAGAATATGGACCACTAGGTGTTGCAGCATGTAGAGCATTGAGTTGAGGATTAGAATTCTTTTGAAAACATGTGTCTGCACTGTGATATTGATTTCCACATAGAGTACAACCAGAAGGAGCAGTATCCGCAAAATGGTTGTTCTTTCCACAAATTTGACAACCCTGTACAGAGTTTGTATTACGAAAACGACATGTTGATGCCAAATGATTGTGTTTCCCACAGATTTGACAAGGTTGAGACAGAAATCCATAATTGTTTGATCTTGGTGGTGAAGTACCAAGGATTCCAGGAGCAGGACTTGAATGAAAATTCTTGTAATTGCCATACTTGGGATTGAAGTTAGGAGTGAACCGATTCCTGCCTTTGGTATTATTGAAAGACTTGTATGCAGTCGAATTCGGACTAGCATGGTTATTGTTACCATAATTCCCAGAAAAAAGACTGATTCTTGGAAGGTAAACCATTACTTTGAGCCATTAATGCAGACAACACAGGTGAATGAGAACAATTTTCAAGCAAAGTTTCTTCAGCAAGTAATTGAGATCGAAGATCTTTCAGTGATCACACTCTCCCGACCCCTGATCACAGACCGTATGGTATTGAATTCAGCAGGCAAACCATTTAGTGTAAGAATCACAATGTCATCATCATCGAAGAATACACCAGCAGCAGACAACAAATCTCTTGCTTCCTTAATTTTCTGCAAATATAATGTGACAGAATCAGTACCCTTCTTTATTGTCTGAAGTTCGGATTTGAGTTGGAAAATACTCGTTCTTGTGACTGTAGAAAATTGATCTTTAAGACGAGTCCACAATTCTTTGGAGCTAGTACTTCCAATGACACAAGAAACTGCAGCAGGAGATAGAGGCGCAGTGATCAATTGCATTAATGCCTTATCATGCATCTTCCATATAATGTAGTCATCAGAAGGAATCCGTGTAGACGAATCACTAGACAAAACTGTAGAAGTAGCAGAGGAATCTTGACTGAATTGAGCAGGACACGGCATTGAACCATCAACAAAACCAATGATGCTATGGCCTTCAAGAAGGAGCTGCATCTGAAAATGCCAAGCCAAATAGTTCGTCTGGTCCAATTTCACATTAACCGAACTGGAAACAGACGAAATCAACGAAGTAATCGGAGACTGTAAGATCTGTAACTGAGCTGCTGTTACCATTGTTGCAAATTGTAGAGAAATTCCAAAGAATCTTGACTGACACTAAATCACAAACAGTTGGTATGCACCCTTTAACGAGTGAAGAACCAGACGAAGATTTGCAGAAACAACACCCCAATATATCAGAAACACGATCAACAAGAACCCAATATTCCAGAAAACCAAAGCAAAAGAAAAGCAATCACAGTAGCGGAAGCAATCGAAACCAAGATCGACAAAACCGACAAGCGTTTTACGCTTGTTCGGGCTCTGATACCATGTAAACCATCATAGGTTCTTGAAGAAGAGGATTATACAGATACAAGAAAGAATGAAGAAAGAAAGACAGAGAGAGAAGTAGAAGAATTAGAGTTTAGAGAGAGAAAATCAGTTATTCAACTGTAATATTCTTTTCTTATTAGTTACAATGATTTGTTACAAGCTATTTATAATATCCCTTTGGTAGCTTACACTCTAAGTCACAACATAACCAACTCAACTAACTTCATACTCATTTGACACTTGTCCATTTCATAACCATTGGATCTTAGTACTCCTAACAATTTATGTCCCTTAACTTTTTTTTGTTTATTCAATTTAAAAATCAAGAATTAAAAAATATGTGTAAAAAGAAAAAAAATATGTGCTGAAATTACTTTCCTTAACATAAGCTTGAACCCGTAATCATAAGAGCATCTCTAATGTATTGGAAATTTAGAACTCTAAATATAAAGTAAAACATCTCCAATGCACGGAAGACTTAAAAGTTAGGACTCATATTTGAATTTCTAGCCAAGTAAGATTGAATTTTGATTCCAACCATTTCGAATGTGCATACCCAAATGGTTAAAACTGAAATTTAGAACTCAAAATATAAGAATAGGTCTAAAATTGGATACTGCCTTATAAATATTATATGTATTTTTTATAATAATAAAATGACCATTGTATCAAATATATATATATATATACATACATATATATGTATATATATTCACATAACTATATCTACTCGTCAGATAATAATGCATTAAAAACATATAACCAAATATTGTAGTCAAATCTCCAAATAAACATAAGATTTTGAATCGGAGATGAAAACCAAAGGCGACGACCTTTGTAAAACTCGAATATAAGAATATAAATTGCGAAATGCTCTAATTCTTTTTTACCTTATTAATACAATAATCGTTGTTGTAACCAAGGTCTAAAATATCGATATTATCCTGATATTTCCATCGAAATTTCCGTATTTTTGGACTACCGATATTTCCGTTATCATCGATATTTTAGACCTTGATAGGAATTCTATATGGTACTAAGTCACTTATGTATCTTACTATACAATGTATAAAGTGTAAAATATTATACTAATTCATTATATATAAATGATTATGGTGTGTTTAAATTTCTTTCATTAATTACTACATATTTTATACACTCACAATGTTTGCCAGCTCGCTATATAATCAACTTAAATCAGTTAAATCCATTATGCAATGCATTTCCTTCCAATTTTTTTTGTGATAAACTAATTGATAATTGACTAAATAAACATCTTGCAAAGTTTCAATAAAAATTTCCAAGTTTTTCTTACAATTTCCGTGGTTTTTATTCAATTTTTATGGATATCGATAATATCCCGATATTTCTATCGAAATTTCCGTGTTTTTGAACAACCGATATTTCTGATATCATCGATATTTTATACTTGGTTGTAACAAAGTTGATGGGATTACAATCTCTCCCTCTCCTCTCCTCTCCTCTGTATCCCTAGACTGTGGGTCTAGATCCTAGACCAGCTGACCTCTCTGACAAAGTTCATTCAATCGACAGTAATAATCTATGGTATATAGACGTGTAACGTATGTAGTATATAATACCCTCTCTCCTTCCTCTCTATATATATTATCCCTGTAGTGTAGAGTTGGACACCCATCACCATCTTAGTTCGCTATATACTGAACAAGAATCAAACCCCAATCGCTCGAGCTTACAACTTTGTCCATGGCAGGAAGCACTTTTTGGCTTGTTCTTCTAATTGGGGTTTTTGGCTTTCTTTTGGTTCTAATTCTAAACCACTTCTTGCCCTTAATGTTGTTAAGGCTTAATGGTACTCTTCCGCCTAAGGGCTCTTTTGGGTGGCCTCTGTTGGGAGAAACTCTTAGCTTCTTGAAGCCTCATCCTTCTAATTCTCTTGGTGCCTTCCTTAAACACCATTGTTCTAGGTAATCGAACATCAATATTGTTTAATTCATATTTGTTTAAAAATTATTTGTTTAGTTTATACATAACTGATTAAAGGTTAGAGTTAAATATGGTCAGTTATGTTTTAATTCAGGTATGGGAAAGTGTTCAAATCCCATTTGTTCTTGTCTCCCACAATTGTGTCATGTGATCAAGAGCTGAACTACTTCATACTTCAGAATGAAGGTAAGTTGTTTGAATGCAGCTATCCAAAGCCTATCCATGGCATCCTTGGAAAATCCTCCATGCTTGTGGCTGTAGGTGACACTCACAAAAGGCTCAGAAATGTGGCTGTCTCCTTGGTCACCATCACCAAGACCAAGCCTGAGTTTCTTAGTGACATTGAAGCCACAGCCATTGGCATACTTCACTCTTGGAAAGATAAATCAAGAGTCATCTTCTGTGAGGAAGCCAGAAAGGTATTTTTGAGTATATATATTATCATGGATTAGTATATATTTTTCTCTCTTTCTTTTATGTTGATCATATGGTTTAATTACACAAATATTAATTATTTTTGGTTCCACATGCGTGCAGTTCACATTCAATGTAATAGTGAAGCAAGTGCTAGGTTTAACCCCAGTTGAGCCACAGGCTACACAAATTCTTGAAGATTTCCTGACTTTCATGAGAGGGCTCATTTCTCTTCCTCTCTATATTCCTGGAACCCCATATGCAAGAGCTGTTAAGGTACCTAATATACGAATAATGTTTTACGCAAACTTGTTTTGCAAAACAATGTTTATTTTGCCAAATTGTGAATTAGAATCGCAAATTCAAATAAAAATCAACATAATTAATGATTGTAAGTATGTTTATATATGTTGTCAGATAGTATGACAAGAGAACATTTTCCTCCAAGATAAAAGTCTCTATATCTTTTTAATACAAAATCAGCTACATGTATGGGTCTCTCTTCTTGTTTATTACAAAAAAGTAGCTAGGCATGTAGTGTGACAATTATTATTTCTCTTTACAGGCTAGAAGCAGGATATCTTCAACTGTGAAAGCAATCATAGAGGAAAGAAGAAGAAATGCAGATGGGAGCACGAATTCTTGTACTAAAAGAAGTGATTTCCTTGAGATACTTCTGGATGTTGATTCCTTGTCTGAAGATGAGAAAGTGAGTTTTATCTTGGATTCTCTATTGGGTGGCTATGAAACCACCTCTCTCTTGATGGCCATGGTAGTTTATTTTCTAGCCCAATCACCATCTGCATTACAACGATTAAAGGTAATTACTTACCCAAGAACAGTTATCTCCTCTTTCATACAAAAGTTAGTAAGTTACATTTGATTAACTTCCTTTAATATATCAATTATTTATAATTCATTTCTCCTTTTTTGGCCAAGACAAAATGATATTAATTTTTTAATATTTTATTTTGGGATGTGCTATCCACACATCATTTTTTACTTCTCACACACCCCTTGTTAATTTCTATCCGTTGATATTCTTTATTTCATCGATCCGAAGGCAAAAAATTAAAAAAAATGTATAAAAAGTAAAAAGAGATGTATAGATATCACATCCCTTTATTTTTTGACATACAGGTAGAGCATCAGAACATTAGAAGAGTGAAGCAGAAAGATGAGTATCTGAACTGGGACGACTATAAAAAAATGGAATTCACCCAAAATGTAAGACAAAAAATCTCACTATTTTTTTAGTATTTTATTATATAATTGTTCAAGCTTTATTCTTTGTCAGAGATTTAATTTGCACATTTTTTTTCTATAATACTTGCATCCCTCTAATTGGGGATGTGCTCATTCTTCACTTACAAATAACGTATCTTCATAGTCGAAATTTCATAATTGGCACATTAAATCTCTTAATCTTCATTTGAAGATCATCTCTATAATAAAAATTATGTGAATCGGATATCGTTTACTCATCTAAATGTATCAAATAAATCAATGGTGTAGGTATCATATAACATATTCATGATGAAACTATTGATTTATTTAATACATTTAGATGACAAAATGATATTCAATTCGAATAATTTTTTGTAGAGATGATCTTCAAATATTGATTAGAAGATTGAATAGTATCAGTTATAAAATTTTTATAGTAAAAATATGTTATAAGTAAGTGGGAGAATGAGCCCATCCTTAATTGAAGAATGCAAGCATGTACATGTATGTCATTTGCAGGTCATTAACGAAGCTCTCAGATGTGGAAACGTTGTAAAATTCGTGCACCGAAAGGCTCTCAAAGATGTAAAATTTAGAGGTAAAAGTAGTATTAAAAAATGCGGTGACATACAATAGCATGCAAACTTTTTATACTTTGCACTTTCAGTGTGTGACGATTGATCTGTTAATTAATTAAACGAAAAATAAGTGTTTTTTTGTGCAACTTTCTGCAGATTATTTAATTCCATCTGGCTGGAAAGTTTTACCAGTTTTTAGTGCAGCTCATTTAGACCCTTCTCTTCATGCAAGTGCTCTTGAGTTTGATCCTTGGAGATGGGAGGTAATGACACATATCAAACTCATGATTCAATCTAACACGACTTGTCTACTATGGACTCCAATTTTCATTAATATAATGTTGTCATCACTACATTGTTAATCGCATCTCTCTTATAAGGGTGGGAGTTTACAGTACGTAATTCAAGACCTACAAGGACATGAAATTAGTCTATTTGTTACTTTGGCCAGTTTCCAGTTAATTTTATAGATGAACCATTTTTCATGCAACAACTTTCGTCAACAAAATTAATTTGAACTTGGGACCTCATCAAATACAGTCAAAACAAGGTGCTATTGGGTGTAACGATCATTGACTACTTATACATGAACTTATGGGCCTTAAACGACATGAAGTTTAATTGGTAATGTTTGCAATTATTCTTATGGTATATTATCTAAACACAATAATGATACTGTGAAAAACATAACTTGGGCAGAAAATACCAAGCCAAGACCATGTATGCAAGAAATTTACTCCCTTCGGTGGAGGGTCTAGATGCTGTCCTGGATCTGAACTTGGGAAGCTTGAAGTTGCTGTTTTTCTCCACCACCTTGTACAGAATTTCAGGTAATCAGATCAATGTTATTTTTTCCAAGTCATGTCTGATTAATCTAAACCCTTCAATATGTTATAATCTACGGGCTAGTAAATTGTGTCAAAACTTTTGTCACAGAAGCACACCTATATATATATGGAAAAATTAGTATCCAGTCCATAGTTACTAATGTTCATTGACTAAAACCTTATTAGTTTTCAGATTTTGATCAAAGTCTCTAGCATTAATGTAAGAATAAATTTACATGTCAGTTACATAATTTTTTAAAATAAAAATTAATAATTGATTTAGGATTTTAATACTCACACATTAATTAAACTCCTAACTAATTTTTAATTCAAAAAATTTCCAAAATAAATAAAAAATTAAAATAAGTTTGTACCCATTAGCTTTTTAAAAAATGTTTTCAATTTTTTAATCTTATAAGTACACATTCATGTAATTTTTTTCAAATTTTTAATCTTAAAATGTACCCATTCTTAAATATATCAATTTGTTATATGTAAAATATAACATTTTTTTTATATAAAATCTATTCAATTTTTTTCTAATCCATTTTTAAACTTATATGGGTACATTCTTTTTCTTTTATTTGAGAATTTATTCATGTCTAGTTTTATCGAAGAAATTTACTAATGTTATTAAGCCTAATATCTATTATTATTTTTTGTGGGTTTGAAGAATGTACCCATGTTTATATATGTATGTATGTATGTATAGACATACCATAGTATAATTTATATTTTAATATTTTTAATCCCACAAATTATGGGTTTTTATTTAAAATCTCATTAACATAAACAACTATAAATGTCAATTTTTAATTTAAAAAATATAGTAAATAGAAATAATATATATATATATATATATATTTTTTTTTTTTTTATATATCCCTCTTTTGCACTGTATAGTTGGGCTATAAAAGCAAATGGAACTAAGTTGAACCAACTTTCATGTGTAGGTGGAGGACCGAGGACGACGACGAACCCGTAGCGTTTCCATACGTAGAATTTCAAAGAGGATTGCCACTGTACCTGGAGCATTGCCCCCATTAACTGATGCATGGCAAGCTTGCTGTGACCATCTCTTAATTTCTTCTCTCTCTCTCTCTCTCTCTGCTGGTGTTTGGAGTCTTGGAGATGGGCACCTACCCGAGTATATTTTTGGTGGATCTAGGCCTCTGATTCCATATGCTACATAAATTTCAGATTGAAAAGTTCTAATTCTGTAAATTTCAATTTCTTCCAATTGTTTCTTTACATAAATGATGATAATCTCTCCTTCTTCTCTATCTCCTTTTGTTTTTTGAACAAACAATATCATCTACACTAAGAATGTAGGGGAGTAGGCTACGTCTCACACTGGGCTGCTCTCCCATTATTATCTCACGTATGATAAATTTATGTATGGCAACACCAATTTCAATAGGGGTTCTTTTTACATGCTAGTATCAATAGTGTTTATCACAAAACTCTGTAAAGCATGAGGGGTAATCTGAAAATATGATTTCAAAACAACTTAGGGGTGTGTGTAATTTAGAGATTTTTTTTTTTGCCAACATTGATAATCTATGGACGGAATTTAACAGAGTTTTGTGAAAATGATTTAAAAGCTCAAGAGTATTATTTCTAAACTTGTGTGTGTAGGGTGGGGGTTGTGAAAACACAAGGGGTATCATAATTACTAATTAGATTAAACGGCCTCCCAAATTAAATAATAAACTAGTCAAATTAGTTAAAAGCTGCAGATAATCCCATTCTTGCATCGAAGTATAACCTTTGGCTTCTTTTCCGTTTTTGCATTGAAATATATTTATGGTTTTTAATCCCATCCAATACGAGTTCAAATGAGTAATAACATTAGTAGTCATATATATAGTGGCATGTGGCCAATATATCTTATTGGATATGGTGTTGAGTTTCTACTTATGCGTCTCTGGTCTGAAACTTCTCCCTCTCTTAAATTATTGAAATAATTTAGCTAGAACTCTCCCGTCTCCTCATAATAATAGTAACTCCTCATAATAATAGTAACATTTTCATTGCCAATAATTATTGTAACTCATTAGCTTAGTACACAAGAAGCGTGAAACTAAGTGAGGTGAAGTAAAATAAGCTGAAGCAATTTGCCTACTATTCTAGCTTAGGCAGCCTTGACAACAATTGGACTCCTCACATAGTGTTTACCATCTGACCATATCAACTTCCCAAACACGTAGTTTTTATCTTGTTTTGCTTCTCTAACCTGCAGGAGTACCTTAAAGCTTTTCTCTTCACCAATTTTCTTGAACTTCAACTCCTTTGGCTCAACAGAAACTGATATACCATCTGGATTTTGGATACGCGCCTTATATGTTCCTGGAGAGCCAACATTTTTCACTGTTCTAGTCACCTCAAGGGATCCAGAGATTTTAGGGACAGTGATTGAGGGGTAGTTGAGGCTAGTGAGACTTATAGCTGGTTTGGAGCACATATACATCTCCTCTGAAAACATTTCAATTTGTGTTTCATTGTAGCCAATTGCGCACAGGAAGTTCAAGTAATCGTTAAGGGATAAGTCGTAAACCAATCCAGGATCCATAGCACTGTTTGGGTTAACATGTCCTGCGCCGTAACTAAATGGTGTTGCCTCATAGAAAGAAGCATTGAGCAATGGTTCCATGCTGTTATCTCGTGTTACCGCTGTGTAACACAAGATTTGAAAAAAAAAATATCATACAGATGAGTAATGCTCTCTTGACAGACATTAATATGAAGCGAATACATAAACTAATGTGCATAGGGACTTCTTACCGGTGGTCATGATTGCAGACTTAATGGCTGCAGGACTCCAATGAGGATAGAGGGTTTTAAGAAGGCCACAAATGCCGGAAATATGTGGACATGACATTGATGTGCCTGACACTGAGTTGAATGGAATTCGCCGTTTGTCAAACATTTGATTTGTTGGCCCTTGTGCTTCTGTGTAGGCTGCTATGACACTCACTCCAGGTGCAGTGATATCAGGCTGGATTAATGTAAAACAACAGTTACTGAATACTTAACCAAATGAGCAAAAAACTTGGGGAGTCTGTTCAATGAACAGAAATTGTTTTGCTAATAAAAAACCTTAAGGATGCCTGGTGTAATGGTGTTGGGTCCCCTCGATGAAAATGCTGCCATGAATGGAGATGGCTTCGTTCCCAGTTCCGTTATTGCACGCTTTATGTAAGCCCGCGGAGACCTATCAAAATATGTAAGTCTCTCAATTAGTAATTTTACCAAAAACATGATACTGCTGACACTGAGGTGAAGCATCCTAACATGTGAAACAAATGCAGATTAAAACAGGCAACTTGGAGGTACTTCATCCATCTTACTTAGTTGAATTAATATAAGTAAAGACAAGGTTGCCGTCGGTGAAATTGATATGCGAAGCAGGGAGAACATGTGGATCAGCAATAATTTCATTCCCGGTAAGCTCATTGTTAGCAAGAATCATTCCCACTGCGCCAGCCAGTAAGGCTTGCTCACCCTTGTCCACTCTTGCATTGTCCCCTCGAAGACAGGCCAAGATCTTTCCCTTCACTTTTTTAGGATCAAGCGTGTTGGGCTTGCATAGCAGACTGCAGCATCATTAAGCAGATTACTTAGGGAACTTGAATATGGTTTTAGTACAACGAAAATCGAAAGCTTGATGTTTTATCCTTACGCTTCTTGAGCTGATGCATTAGCTGCTTTAGCATCTGCAGCACTAATAAGTTGGTAGAATTTCTTTTTCTTACTCCGCAAAGCAACAGTCGATAAGCTTTGTCCCTTCAGAACAAGGTGGATAAAAATTACTAGGGATTTGAGTAGTTTTGCAGGATATATATAACGTAAGCTCCCCTCAAACACTCTAACATATCTAATTTATGTTAGAATAAAAGGGACGCCAACTATTTTGGTACTCTACTCTTCTCTCTATCTGCACTCCGGACTGAATATTTAACAAATTATATTTTCTGCACTCATGGATAGGAGTGCAGGACACTAAACGAGGAGTGTTAAAATCACTAGCGGGAAAAGGGACTATAACTAACCTTAAAGTGCTTCCAGTTTCCAAGGGTGACATAACTAGGAAACTCCCTATCCATAGTACTAGCGCCGACCGTGATCTGCCATGGCGATATATTGGAGACAGTACCTTCAGCCGGACCAGAATTCCCCGCTGAGCAAACCACCACAATGCCACGCTTAACAGCATGGAAAGCACCAATTGAAACACTGTCATTGAAGAATGTGGTGGGATCTCCACCCAGTGAAATGGACAACACATCAACGCCGTCATCGATGGCCACATCAAATGCAGCCAATATATCTGCATCAAAGCACTCACCTCCTTCCATTGGAGGCCAGCAGACCTTATAGGCTGCAACCCTGGCTTTTGGTGATCCACCCTTTGCTGTTCCATTACCAAAGCCGAACGCGCTTGCACCGGTTACGAAATTTCCACCAGCTGTTGACAAGGTATGGGAGCCATGGCCTTCGTTGTCGCGCGGCGAATCGAAGGAGGAGTTGAGCGGGCCAGCAACTGCAGCAAAGCCCTTGTTGAAGTATCTTGCTCCAATTAGCTTCCTTGCATGGCAAAAAGTTTGTTAAGGGTTACAAAGTTACGACTATATAACAAGTCAAAACCCTTAATTTACAATATGACAAATATGTTTGAAGTATATAAAATTCAGTGTCAAAACTTATCCAGATAATATGCAACAACGAATGATTTCACTACTAATAGCATCGAGTCATTTTACATAAAAAGTCACAACCGTTTGTATGTTTATGTAAATAAATTGAAGACAATTCAGTATTAACTAATAGTGAACCGTTATACTATTACCAAAATAGACTTTTGTAAACTGCTGAGGACTACTGTATACAAGCAAATAATAAACTATATTAAGACAACAGTCATGTTCTGGACCTGTCTTCTCTCCCATTATTATAACATAATTTGTTTGCTTAATCTAAAGAAGTTGCCTTATAATATATATGTTTTCTTTTACTGTCTTTCTTTTGGACTACAAGCAGTGAAAGAGTCTAATAGAATATTGAATAGAAGTTGGATTTTTAATGAAGGATTAAATTACATTGAGATGGATGGGAGCATGGGGGCATCTTCTTTCATGCTAGCTGTTGGACAAAGAGTTTGACTTCAATAGCTTGGTAGGTTAATTTATTGTCCTAGAGAAGATGTCTTTTTCAATTATTAAGCAAGCTGATTTGGGAAGGTATTTTTCCTACTGCCAACGATAGAAAGACTTTTATAATCCACTCAGTGACACAGTAAAATACATCCTCTAGATGGAACTAACCATCTGATACTTATTTTTTATTACGTGAATCTCACATCGAGAAAAAAATAAACTTTGTATGTGTTTATAAGTAATTAGGTTATTCTTCATTTGCTAATTGTTTTTTAATGAAATCTCAATTATCTTCACTCTGAATGAGTGAAGATAAATATCATTATAGCGCATGCTCGTAGGTGATTTGAAAAACTTTTAAATAAGATAGCATAAAGCGGGAGTCTTGTGCACTGGGTACGACCTTTTTTTTTTAGTTGATTATAACCTTAAATGTAGTGTTCAATTAATATAAAATGAATCAAATTATAATCTAATTACATGCATCTTGAGAAATGGGATCAAATACAAGGCATTGAAGCAGATTTATATACTCAAGTTTAATGGTATTCTAGGTTTCTAGAATAAGAACGGCCACAACTTTATGAGAAAGTTTCAAAGATACTATCTTCTCTCTCCACTACTAAAGGGGATAATCAAGACTGGACCATCCAAGTTTGGATAAAACTGGGCCTGAATGCCTGATCAAAGAGCACATTAAGAAGATTCTATCTTGTTGTCTTGCTTCTATTTCAACACGCATGTTTTAGCAATAAGTATATCTTTACTTTCCTGATAAGGTAATATTCTAAACTAGTCAATTTATAGAAAAAGAATTTGAACTCAAATGCAAAGGGAACTCGAATATGCATTAACAACGAGCATATCCTGTTTAACTGATGCCAAGATACTTTAATTACACTGTGAAATTTAAAATTTGATTATTCTTGGCGTTGTAGAAAAGCAAACAGAGTAAACCAATCTTGCTTTGAAAATAATCATAAAGCTAATAGTGGGTACCTGTTGCAGTGAAATTTTGGATCTGTCTGATTTTGACAGATTCCTTTCCACTTGGATGGAATCGGTCCATACCCCTCATCACTAAAGCTCTTGGATTCTGGCCATGCGCCTGCATTCCCATTCAAC